CTGATCTATTTTTAAAGGTTTTTCCCAACCTGAATTCTTAACCCTGAGGTTCTGTTTTGTTTGTGTACAAACCAGATTTACTTGCCACTTTCATTAGCTTGGGCTGCTATAACAAAAACACCATAGACTGGGTGGCTTAAACAGTAGACATTTATTTCTCATTGTCCTAAAGGCTGGGAAGTCAAAGATCAAGATGCTAGTAAGTTTTGTTCCTGGTGAGAGTCCTCTTACTTGTGTGTAGACAGTCACCTTCTTACTTATCCTCACACTATGGAGAGAGAGCTCTGATCTCTTCACCCCCTATACAGACACCAGGAGCACCACTACCGTGACTTCCTCCAAACCTGATTACTTCCCAAAAAGCCCAGCTCCAAATACCATCACCCTTGGAATTAAGGCTTCAACACACAAATTTTGGGGGGACATAAGCACTCAGTCCATAGCACTTACACAGAGTCACCTTTAAAAAGGGTGTTGGTTTAAGATAAACCAAATGCCTGATTTCTAGGTAAAATTCTAGCTAAAATATGAGGTGCGAACATGTTCTTTTGCCCAACTGAGATAAATATACTTGAATCCTCTTTCAGAAATCTAGTCAAATGGAGAGTTCTAACCCTGGCCAAATTTTCTAAAACATTCAAAACACTCCATTGACCTGTATCTTTGTACATTGTTAGCAGCTGAGAACATAACGTCGTAGAAGTTTACAAAATGTTTTGAAATAGTTCTAGAGACCTGGTTATGCTTAAAGAGTTCAGTTAAATATTCAGTCTTACCATATTTATTGACTTCCTACTATGCATTTTGTAGGCACTGTGCTAGATTAGTGACGACTCAGCCCTTAAGGAGATTTTAATCCAGAAGATTAAGAAGACAAAGGGACAATATGTCAAAGGTCTCAGAGATAATTCCATAGAAGCTGGACTCTGGAAGGGAACCAAAGAATCTGGTCCAGCCCTTCACTGTACAGAAAATGAAGGTGAGGTTCAGAAAAACACACTCATTATGGACTCATCAGGAATAGAACTCAGGGCTTGTGACAATCATATGAGTATTGCTTAATTGTCAGAGAGAGGGTGCACCACAGATCCTAAATTCACATATTGATTTGTTTTGGAGACTCATTTAAGTCCTTGGCTTTCTTATTTAAAAAAAATTTTTTTTAATGTTTATTTTTGAGAGGGAGAGTGTGCATGAGCAGGAGAGGGGGCAGACAGAGGATCCAGAGAAGGCTCTGAGCTGACAGCAGAGAACCCAATTCAGGGCTCACTCTCAATGAACTGCAAGATCATGACCTGAGCTGAAGTTAGCCACTTAACTGACTGAGCCACCCAGGTGCCCCATTGACTTTCTTATTTTTTATAGGAGTCAGAGTCTCATTGAAAAGAGTATCTGTGAGCATCCAATTTCAAAACTGCACATGACAATGCTGTGAAAATTTTACAGTACCAATTTGTAATTCATTCTTAGTGTTCCCAGTACTATTTGACTTTAACTCTTGAAGGAAGCCAAAAAGCTTGTAACCTCACAATATGGAAGAAAATGGTTAAGTGTACCAAGTTGTTAGATTAATTAACTAGTATTTACTGGGACAGGGAAGTAGTGGGTATGGTTTCAGGAAGAAGTGTATTGAGTCAATTATTCTGAAAAAAGTTGACCATGATATAGCCAGTGTATCCACCTGACTTATAAAATAATTGAAAATAGTACCAAGCCTATGACTGACTGAGCCACCCAGGTGCCCCATTGACTTTCTTATTTTTTATAGGAGTCAGAGTCTCATTGAAAAGAGTATCTGTGAGCATCCAATTTCAAAACTGCACATGACAATGCTGTGAAAATTTTACAGTACCAATTTGTAATTCATTCTTAGTGTTCCCAGTACTATTTGACTTTTAACTCTTGGAAGGAAGTCATAAAAGCTTGTAACCTCACAACATGGAAGAAAATGGTTGGTGTTAAGTACCAAGCTGTTAGATTAATTAACTAGTATTTACTGGGGACAGGGAAGTGCAAAGGGTATGGTTTCAGGAAGAAGGTATTGAGTCAATTATTCTGAAAAAAAGTTGACCATATATAGCCAGTGTATCCACCTGACTTATAAATGACTGAAAATAGCACTGCCTATGAAAGCACATACCTATGAAGGTATAGTACCAAGCAGAGTTCCAATAAGGTTTTCAAGAAAAATTATGTAACAAATGACAGATAAATGAGCAGAATTATACGAAGTTTAATAAGGAGTTCTTGCATTTTGTGCCTTTGGATTTTAGACCTATTCAAATTGAACTTCCACTGTTGAAAGAAAGCTCGGTCTCCTCAAAGATGCTGTGGGACCTCGGTAATCCTTTCTCTATTTGCATGTAACTTCTGTGGCCCACTTTACAGGCCATGAGCTTTTGCACAAAGCTGTGCCTGCTTCTGCAGCAGCTCCAGGGAAAACTCAGAAAGAATGCACAAACTTGGCATCATCACTGGTTCTTCCATAGGATTTCAAATCCTGTTGTGTTCTTTCCTCTTAAAATTTCTGACATGAGCCTCAGAGTGACAATCTAGAGAGAGTTAAATCACTTAACTCTCTCCTTTTGATAAAAAAGAAAAAGAGATTCCAAATATCCAGAACGTTAATATCTGTTTAAAAGGCGTGGGTTTATAATAAATAAGCCCTAACATCCAACAGGTGGCACCCAGGGTGCAACACACGATCTGCCAATTACTTGAAAGAACACTCTGAAAGAACATCTTTAGAAAAGATGGAGAGGCTAAAAACAATAAATAAATAACTAAAAAGTTCTCGACCAGGGATAGTGCTGGATATTTTTCCACTTGTCCTTCCAGATTCACTCTGGTGTGGCTTGCTCCAGGAGGCTGAGCTGTGTGCGCTGCTTTGCCTGGGCATCCATCCTGCGTTCTGGGTTCGCTTGGCTTCTGCCAAGTGAAAGAAAGCAGCAGAAGGAAGGAAGGAAGGAGAAGTGAGGTCTTAGAATGGACTTCCTGGGTCCACTTTGTTTGTTTTAATTTAATTTAATTTTTTCAATGTTTATTCTTGAGAGAGACAGAGAGTGTCCCTGCCAGGGAGGGACAGAGACAGAGGGAGACACAGAATCTGAAGCAGGCTCCAGGCTCCGAGCTGTCAGCACAGAGCCTGATGCGGGCTTGTACTCACGAACTGTGAGACCATGACCTGAGCTGAAGTTAGACAAGGCCTTTACCAACTGAGCCATCCAGGCGCCCCTTTGGGTCTGCTTTCTAAACATACACTGCATGCTGCTAAATCCTCCACCAAAGGCCACTGTTTCCATCAGGCAGCCTTCCCCATGCAATCCCTTAACTAGAAGTTAGGGAGTGACTCCTTCCCTTTTCCTCTAGAGGCAGGGATAGTAACAGCTCCCCTTGTTGCAGCCCCCAGGGTGCTGCACTATCTTTTTGGTGTCCCTTTTCATGACAGATACAGAACAACTTAAGCAAAAACATAGAGCTCAGGTATGAGGTTAGGAACTTCTGTCTGCTTTGGTGCCTAGAGGAGTACCTGGCCAACAGTAAGCACTCAATACATATTTGTTGAAAAAATTGTTATACATATATAAGTTTTAATGAAACTTATCATTGGTAATCACAATGCTTGTGATTTGCCAATGTAGATATTAAAAATACATTCCTACATGCATACATAAAAGCTTCAAACACATCCATGTTTTTATATGTACTTAATTGTGCATATATACAAATATATGAATGAAAAGATGTTAATGAATGAGAGTGACAGTGGTGGTGTCCTAATGGAAATTACTGTAGAAAGATGTTCACTACTTAAGATATAATTCAACCTTGTTAACAGGAGATAGCTCATACCTTCCCTTTCAATTCCCCCTGAGTAAACGTGCTCACTTGTGGGGCCCTATGAAAGAAATATTTATCTAGCCCCAACTGGTGATCTGCTCCTCTCTGGAAGCTGGGAGTGTAATGGTGACTATACTAGATTCCACCTGTCCCCATGTAGAAATGTGATGGCATAGGGGTGGGGTAGAAGAGTACTGAGTTTTATGGGAGTCCATGAAAGGATTACCTAATCCTTGACTTAAGACTGCCTAAGGCCAGAGCTGAGAGATAAGGTGTTGGCCAAGTAATGGAAGAGGCTGAGAAGAGAAGGGGGCTCCAGGCACAGGGGACAAGAGCTTGCACAAAAGTGTGGAGAGCAAAAGCCTGGCTCACTCAGGCAACTGAAAGAAGTTCATTATGGTTGGAAAACAGTTTGAAAATGAGAATATTGAGAAATGAGGGTGGAAGAGTAAGAAGTCAGACCATGCAAGGTTTTATATAGATTTAAGAGAGTTGAGATTTCAAGCCAGTTAAATGCTCATTGAGAGAGAACAAAAGGTAATTATTCTTCCCCTCTTCTCCAAAACATAAGCACACATACACACTTTATATCTCCTAATTGGGAGGAAGTTAAGGATTCCAGATGTTACTGTAAAGCAATGGTTGTCTAATTGATATTAACCCATATTTGTTGAAATGCTTAAATAACTATGATTAAGCAGCTAGCAGTTATTGTGTGCTTACTAGATTACAGGCACTGTTCTCAGAACTTTTTAGGTATGATTTTCTTTAACACTCACAATAACCTGATAGATAACTCTATCAGATAGCTACTATTTTTATCTGAAGTTTACCAATAAAGAAGAGGTACAGGAAAGTTAAATGCCTTACTCAAAATCATACAGATAGTAAGTGGTAAAGATTTTTAAAAAATGGGGGGAGTAGTGGTTTTTCCTCATCTCCAGTGGAAGGTAGGTTAAGAAAAATACTTGGGAACTGCACTGATATTGAATATAAATAATTGGGACTAGGGTGATAAGCTTGCTTTAAGAAGCAACAGATTGGTCCCATACCTTATATCATAGCACAGAGAACAAATTTAGTGAATAATACATTAAGTGTTGAAACTGATGTAAGCACAAACACAGCAATAGATTGCTTTTCCTTTTTTTTTTTTTTTTTTTAATATGGAACGCTTCACGAATTTTCATGTCATCCTTGTGCAGGGGCATGCTAATCTCCGTATCGTTCCAATTATAGTATTAGTATATGTGCTGCCGAAGTGAGCACTTAAATTGCTTTTCTAAGGGGGAAATTTGAACAGAACTTTTTTGAAAGTCAGGGGAGCCATGGTAACTAAGAATTGAAATTTGAATCCAACAGGTCATGAACCAGTATGTCAAGGCAATGCCTGGTGCCTCCATTTTCCTAACTTTAAAATAAAGTGACATTTTATATTACTATGTTGGAGCATTGAAGAATTATGCATTATACAGCCATTTGAAATTAGTCTATGCTGTAATTATAAATGAGAAAAGGCAAAACATTATTTGAATCAAATAACTTCAAAGTCTTTAGTGTTATTAGAAGCTTACCATTAATCTTTAAGAAAAATAAGTCTTTGGTTGTTTGACACCAGCAGATGGCACCCTAACAAAATAATTTGTGTGCCATAGGTGAACTCATACAGCCCTCTGTATATTCAAATGCAAGGCGAGCTCACTGTATTTGGATATGTAGGGTAGAAAAGAGAAAAACCAAAGACAAGACTTGCTCTTTTTGACTCAGACAATTTTTACTTGGTGAGGAAAAAGCAGCAAGAACATTTTCCTTATTAGTCTTTATTTTGTGAATACCTAGCTAGCTTGAATCATTATTCTAAGAAAGTGCTCTATAAATCTCCATAAACCTCCAGCTATAAAGGTAACATGATTACATTGAAGGGAATAAAATGGACTGATCCATACCTCTTCCCAGCTTAAAAAAAAAAAAAAAGAAGGGAATTTGGTGAAACAAATACTCTTTTTGATTGTTTCAACTGACAGAGAAGACACTGGAGTTAGTTTTGTTTTGTTTTGTTTTGTTTTGTTTTGTTTTGTTTTGTCTTTTAGAGTTTAATTGAGAAGAACTTAAACGTGAAGTCTGCATCAAAGATACTTGCCACAATGACCATTTCAATTTCAGACCTATTCAAGTTGAATTATTCCAATTAGGCGATTGGTGTTTGAATCTCCCCCCTTGCTATTTATGTGTTAACTATTATTTTTTTAAGTTTATTTATTTCGTTTGAGAGAGAGATGGAGGGAGAGATCTCATGGGAGCAGGAGAGGGACACAGAGAGAGGGAGAGAGAGAATTCCAAGCAGGCTCTGTGCGGTTAGCACAGAGCCCTTCATGGGACTTGATCCCATGAACCATGAAATCATAACCTGAGCTGATACCAAGAATCGGTTACTCAATCGACTGAGCCACGCAGGAGCCCTATGTTAACTGTTATTTTTAAAGTAAATACAGGGTATTTTGTTAAGATGGTGATATGTGCATCTATAAAGGATGAGTATTTCCCATTTTAGAAGATGTCAGGGTTACCACTTTTTCTTTCTTCATCCTTTTGCTTAGTTCCAGGTATTTGATTTACAGAAACAGCCAGATCTGCAGTTTGCCCATCATTTTCTGGTCTCTGAAAAGGGTAACAACCCAAGTTTTTGGCCTGTTATTCAAGCCCTCTCACCTGCCTCTGTCTCCTAACAAATAATTCTTATCTTCTCCAAATATATGAATTTATAATTACTCTGAAAGGAACTATAATCAAAGAGTCAAACTTGAGTATAAAAACTACCCAGGATCCAAGACCAGCCCTCTCTCTAAGATGGAAACTTTAGGTGTAAAAAGCAGTAACAGGAGGTACCAGGAACTACATTCAGCACCAGTCTACTTCCTTTGTACACTTACTGCTGGGTCTTACTCAAGAAAAAGACTGAAATCAAATATATAATTCCATCCTCTTGAAGACCTTGAGTGAAAAGAGGGAAAGGCTAAGCAGCATGACTATTTTTAGGGATAGGGTGTCTGGGAAGAAATCAAGGTGATTTGCTTGCTGAGAAACAGAATGGTTCCTGGAGGCACACCCTTTTACCTAAAAAAAGCAGCTGACTTCCAGCCAAAGCCTTGGAAACAAGTGAGGCCGGTGCTTGAAAGATGAACCACACCTGACAAAGCTGGAGCTTGGTGGATTCACAACCTGCCCTGAGAAGACCATCCAGTTGCAAGGAACAGTGGTTAATAATTATTGAGCACAAACTAGCACTTGAGGACTCTGGCAAGCATTTATAGAAATTAATTAAATGCTTACACCAACCATATCATCGTGTTGCTATTGTACAGTATATACATTTTAAAGCTGAGAAACTTGAAGCATTCATAGCTTTATCAAAATTTACCCTGGGTGGTCTGGGTCCACTTTTAACCACTAATCCACATCACCTCTCTAGTAATTCTCTATGAACTTTTTGTGAACATTTCACCACTGTCTAAATAAAGATGGAAGAAGAAAAAAAAAAAAAAACAACAACCAACAACTGTGGTTTCATACAGCCAAAAGAGAAGGGTTTTTGTTTGTTTTACTTAAGTTTGTAGCGGTGGAACTTTCTGGGTTGATAACAAAGCTCAACACTGCCATGTTATTTCACCATCTGGAAATGTGCCTCAGCTTGTCCTTCCCTCAGAGTGCCTGGTCAGCACAGAAGATCTATCAGTGTCTGCAGAAGGGGAAAGTTCCCACTCTTCAAGAGTTGTGTCAGGGAAAGAGTGATTCAGAAGATACTGGGAGGCACATAGAGAAATGCAAAAACAGGTAGAATTGAGTAGAGGAAACTAGTGCTTTAAACAAACGCAGGAAAAAATCCTGGAATCCATCTAGGAGTCGCTGTGAAGCCGTGGTCAGCAAAGGAGCACATTGTGATGGTTCAAGTCAGTGAAGAGAGCTGGCCTCAAGTTTTCTCTCTCCACCCAGAGAGACCTTTTTCTGGGTATCAGGGTGGTACAATCAGTTTGGAGTCTTCCACCCACCTGACGACTATTCTCGCATTCTAAGGTCGAGAACCGTGTCTGGAGACAGCTTAGCCAAATATCCAGTCACTGGCGTCACCTGGGAGTCTGTTTCTTCTACCAGGTAACACTTAATGCTGTCAGTTCTGCCAGCTAACTCCTCCATCAAGAGTAATCTAGGCTTTTATTTTCTTCTTGGGATTCCAAAATGGGGATGGTTCCCGGGTCTTCTCCTTAGCGGTTCTCTTTTCACAACTCACTTCCCATCAGCCCAATTTGTTTTCCCACTTTATCCTAAAGAACTCCAAGGAGGGAAGCTAATAAAACCTGTTTAAGGCAGAAGTTGGGCAACTGCAGTCATTAGCGTCTCTGAAGTTTTTCCCCCCTTCTGTGTATTATCACCACCAAGGCTAGGCTGATGTTTAGCAAAGAGCACCTGTCAAAACAAAAGAAGAGTTTCACACCTCACAATTTTAAGCCCCAGGTAAGAAACTCAGCCTGTTGGATCCGCAAAGAGGAAGACGAGAAACCTGAAACTCTAAGGCTTGGAGAAGAGTTAAATGAGTTTCCTCTGGGTACCAACAGGCTTTTGTTTAACACGATTAAATCCTCTTTGTTTCATTACAGACATCAATTCGAAAACAAACAGTGTGATCAAGATAAAGGCCTGGAGCAGCATTCTGTTTCTCTTTCTCTTCTTTTTCTCAGAGAGCTATCACCACCTCTCAGTGGACAGGCTTAAAGGAACTTAACTGGCTCACAGAAAATTGATGAGCTGAGCTGAGCAGGTGTACAGGAAAGCTTTGCGCTGCAGGGTTAGGCAATGGAAAAAGTGTGAAGCACTTATGTCCATGACCAGATCGAGTGATAAGAGGACCGGCTTCCTTTGCTATCTAATTAATTGTCTTTCTTTTCAAAACACGGTCTTTGATTTCAAGAAGCACCTGAAGAAGGTAAGACCTAGTCCTAGTGCGACAACAACCGAAAACTCCTATGGGGGTAGGGGTGGGGGGCTGGGAGTGTAGCATGCAGACAGGAAAGATGGAGAGAGGGAGGAGATGTTACAGAGTCAGTAACCAAAACAACAAAATATCCAGTCAAGAGATAGCAGTGAACTGAATTCTATCAAGGATGTGACAAAATTGAAACTGGTGTGCATTTCCAAGGCAATCCTTTCTATATTATTAAATTGCTTACTTTATTGTTGTCAGACAACACTAACTCCTTTTTTTTTTCCTAAACAAAACATGGACATTGTCAGTGTAACAGCTACACTGAGCTGACAGAAGCCGGGGTCATCCATATACACATTTTAATTACCTCTTTTCAGTCAGGAACATCGTTAGAAGTTTATTATTACCAGCCACTATCTTGTGATCTTAATTGGCTTCCTTCACAGACGACACCATGAAGCCAACATAAGAGCTCTGGCAGCCTCCCAGAGATAGTGACCAGATCGGTGACACTTTATACTGATACTGTCTTCAGCTGAATAACAACCATCAGTTTAAGTTTTAATGCTAGACATGAGGTGGAAGCTTCTTTTAACACCTGTATGCAGAGATGTTCCTGATTCCATGGTGTTGAAAAACACACGGAGAAGTAGCGACTTTTCACACACCTTTGTTAGGGTTACAGAGAAATGATCTATACTTCAGAGAGGGATATGCCAAACAGCCAGTTATTCCCAGTGGCTCTCTTGGATTCTGGTAAAGTGGAAAATAATAGTTTGCTTGCCAAATGGAAAAATCCACATCCTTTGACGCAAAGATTAAGTCTGCAGCGTGGGCCACAGTTACCTGGCTGCTCGCTACTCAGAAAGTATGGAAACACCCTTACGTTAATAGTTTGCTTTAATAACATTGGGCCTGAATCAATAATAGTTATTAACTTAGTTTCCAAAGCTTTTGCAATCATGTTGATGCCAAATTTTGAGGCAGAGGGAAAAAGAGGATGATTCTGAAATAAACACGTTATCTTGTCTTGTGGTGGATGAGAAAAAGGAAAGTCTTTATGTAAATACACTTTGTATCTTTCTCTTTATAAAAGGAAAACAAATAAGTTCGGAAATGTTAAACGCTGGGATTCACTTTTGAAGACCAGGCTGATGATCTCTGGGAACAACATTACTTGGATACCTATTTATTATAGTAATTATACTATTGATCCCTGGCCCTTTGGGCCATTCTTCGGGCATTTGTAGAAAATGAGCTAAGTCACAAATATTCTAACTTTGGGTAATTA